GTGATCACTACCACCTTTAAAGGCACCTGGCATGTTTTGGGGGCAATACCTTGACGGGAGGTCCTGCGGACAAGAGGAAGAGCGCATTGAAGGACGTAGGCCGGGGCACACACATGCACCCTGCCTGGGGGGTGGGTTAGGAATGAGACAGGCCAGTGTTGTAAGGGAAGGAGTGACAATCGATAAGGGCAGAGGCAGAAAGGGAAGGGACTAGAGGAGGAGAGCGGTGTGAGAGTCAGAGAGACATAGGGGCAACGCGAGCGAGAACAACGGTAATTGTGTGGGAAACCTTGCCTCATGACTTGGGGGAGTAAGGGTTAGGAGGCGGGCAAGGAGGCCGAGCGGTGGTATAGTGTGGTCCTTGTGTTTGCTGTGCCTTTTCCACGGGGTACTGTTCATTGCCCAAGCGTCATTTGCATCTCTGCTTCAGAGAGTCCCATCCCCATCTTATCCTAGCTGGTTTTTATGGGTTACAGATGAGAATATGTGTGGTCCTTCATGGGAGAGATGCCTTGTCCTCTTCCTTATCCTTGTCCCTTTACCGTCTAGTATTGCACACTCGTGTCCTCACTAGTATACCTGCTTTAATAGGAGGTTTCAAGAGCCGACTTTAAGGTGGGAACCATCCCCAAGCCAGGGCAGTCCCAATCCAAGTATAGTGTTATTGTCCCTGTGCCACCTGCTATGCTGCTGTCCGCCATAACCATGTCTTGAGCCTCAATCCCTGTTATTTGATTAGGTCCCCGGTGCTCCTTTCTGCTGTTTGGATTACAATTTCTAATGATTCTTCGCTTCCTTCTCGACCTTGTGGTATCCTGGTTACCTTGAACCTAGAGGTTCAGCTGACATTTCAGCAACCTTTGACAGTGTCTAAATCAAGATCTTTTTCTGGTCAGCAGGGGTTGCATTTGGGTACAACTCTGGGTCTAGTCTCTATCTTATCCCTGGGGAGTTAAGCTTCCCCTGTTTCTGCAGGTGGTGTACCTGAGGCAATGTTTTGGGTCATTTTGTGTTGGAAGCAGGTTAAAAAGACCCTCCAATTGTCAGGCTGCTCACTTCACCCCACCACTTGAGCCGTGGGTTGTGATTCAGCTCTCCAAAAGTGGCACATTCCCTGGTCAACCATGGTGGACAGCATCTGGCATATTTTTCCTCAACCTGGGGCATTGGGAGTGGACTTGTGGGATGTGCAGGTGAGCATTTTTAGAGAAATACTGCCATCCAGAGGAACATATTTGACCATCTCACCATCCCTGCCTCTGCCTTCCTGGGGAATGGTGATCAGAGGGTGACAATTGATTGGGAGAGATCAGTAGAGCGATGGGGATAGTGTGGCCCATGGCAGCCTAATGGTGGCCATCTTTGGTCAGAAATAATGGAAGCCTGGGGTAGGGAGCCATAGTGATGCCTGTGGCCATTTTCATTTGTTATTTGGTGTCTGTAGTTGCTACTCCCACATTTCTGTGCTCTATTTCAGAGGCTTATTTGCAGTTAGCATGTCTCATGGTGTAGGATGGAATCACCTGTGCAAATTCCTTTACAGACTTCTCGTGTCTTTGTCACCTTGCTAAAATTCTTAGAGAAATCACTGAGAATAACCCTTGTTTTCTGTTTACCTGTAGGTCTGCATGTCTCAGCCCTGTGCTCAGGAAGCTGGCAGTCAGGAAGGTCAGGTGACGTTACCAATATTGCACCACCTTGGAGTTCAATTGTCAGTTTTGTTCTTTACCCATTTTTTCCCCCTCTGCTCTGGACCCAATGCCCTTTCTCTCAATATCTCTCAGATTCACCCTCATGAATCAAACATTCCAAGGCCACAAATGAAGTGAACAGAGGTGAGCACACAGGCCTTTCTCCTTCACCTCAACCACACAATTGCCTGCTACTGGAGAATCACTGTTGTGGGTCATGCTATTTGCCAGTGCTCATCTGCCTCTTCACTAGCTACCTAGTTAGTGCCAGGAGAAGGATGTGAGAGTACATCTCAAGGCCTAGGACTGCACTCCTTTTTTCTCATAGCTACTAGATAGTTTCTGAAAAGGGCTCTCTGCATCTCTTTATCCTCTTGAGTTTCCCAAACTGTTTAATGGTTTCATGTGAGTAGAATCTTCAGTCCCTCTAACTTATTCCCCCTCATTCCTTGGCCCAAGGTGTAGACCTACAAAATTTGATCTCTTCCCAACCCAAGGCTGTTACTGTGATGGTCTTAGTGTGTTCCTTAGGACTCTTCAGTGTTCTGGGTCAGCTGGACTCCCAGAACATACTTCCCCACTCCTGTAAACCTAGATGTCTTCCACAAGGAGAAAAATTGGGACATACCGGCTCGGCGCCTATAGCTCAACCGGCTAAGGCGCCAGCCAC